TATGTGCCGTCCAGTCGGACATGACTCATAGCGACCCCTCCTTGGGTTTCCGAGGCAGTATCACTCTGGTAGCATACTGCCTAAGGCACGTGACTACTAACTAGAAGGCTGGTGGTTCAAACCCACCAGCCACTCCTCAGAAGGAAAGTTGGGCAATCTACTTCCATAGTGATACCACCTCAGAAAACCAAGGAGGGGTTGCTGAGTTGGGTCTGACTCAACAGCACAAAACAACAACAATATATGCTTCACTGGTTTTACGAGTTCTGATGGTACAGTAGTTAAAGCATTCAGCTGCTAGCCAAAAGTTTGGCAGTTCAAACTCACCAGCCACTCCATGGGAGAAAGATGAGGCAGTCTGCTTCCATGAAGATTTACAACCTTGGAAACCCTATGGGGCAGTTCTCCTCTGTCCTATAGGGTCGCAGTGAGTTGGAATCAACTCAATGGTAATGGTTTGTTTAAAGAACCTACACTAAGACAGTAACTTTAATTAAAAAAATTCTCTTGCTTTTCAACTGCTAGCAGCATTACCATGATTTCCTTAAATCTCATATGTATGTACTTTCAGTCCAGACTACCATGATACTTCATTTTACATTTTAGTGAAGGTTGCTAGCCATCAGTTTTGTCTGTTGGTCAATTGATTTCTCTGTACACAACATTACCATATGCCATGCTAAAGATATCCATAACCTAATATGGTTAGGGTCCAATCCGCAAATGATCGTGAATATGGCATGGAACTGGGCAGCATTTTGTTCTATTGTGCATAAGGTCACCATGATTCTGGAGCAGACTGGACAGCAGCTAACAACAACAATCCAGTTAGATAAACTTGAATTTAAAAACAGCATGTATTTTTTACATGGGTACTTCCTCTGTCAAGTTGTGATTGATTTGCATTTGTCAAGGGGATATTTTTGTGTATTTAATTTCAAGAGAAAGCTAAAGATCAGCCATGGGGCTGGGCCCTTCCTTTCCCCCTGAGTAACCACCTCTCAGTCTCCCTTCTTCCCAGCCTCTCCCCTAATTCTCCCTACCCCTTAAGCTCCCATTGGCTCACCTCCCACCCTTCCCATCTCACTATAAATAAATAAATAAATAAAAGGCATTTTAAAATGGAATTTCTTATTTCAGTAAATCAGATCTGCTTAAATCCTTAAAGATATCCGTACCTTGAACAAGAGCATAAAATACAATAAGGACAGTGGAGAATCTCATTCATTTCCTACCATATTTTAGAAGTTTGGTTCATGTGGGTACTTTAGGCTTTCTCATCCCTAAATCTATCTATGGTCCTTTGATACTTACGAAGGAGGGTATTTATATCCCCAAGATAATTTTTAGTGGAATAAAATACATATTAATCTGCCTCTATTTCAATAAATACAAAATGTTTGTAATCTGACATTTCCAGAAGAAAAAATTGACTCATTTTATTTGATAATTATTGCATTCTTTTTAAAGAATCTATCACATGAATCATAGTCAAAAATCCATTTACAACAGAGAAGGGACATATTTATGAATCCAAGGAACAAAGTTTGACACCCTTGTATAAACACCAGGAAAGTTCGGTCTTCCACATCCATATCCCCAGCTAACAACGCCAGTCAAAATCCATTTTCCATCACTTTTTCTTCGACAAGATAAAGGTCCACCCGAATCTCCCTACACAAGAAGATAGCATAAGTATAAGGTACATTTGTCCCATAATGTCTCCTGCTAAGGAAATAAGTAGCAGTCCTGCAACTGTGTGTGTGTGTGTGTGTGTTGTTTTGGGTTATGAGAAAATCATGACAGAATAATGAACACTGACCCCATCCTTTGATGTTAGAGGAGATACATGGGGGCTAGAAAATTGAGTTCTATAGACCCAATTCTTTCACCATCTTTCCTTGATCTCAGGCAACCAGATTATAATTAATCTTGGGACAACTCAAATGAATGAAGAGAAACACCTTCCTAAATTGTTCCCCAGTGTGTGCAGATGAAATGTGAAAGCATTTATGAAAAGCACATCATGCTAGGTGAGAGAAAGGTAAGATAACTTACTTTGCAAGCATCTTTCTTGCCTGACATTATGCCAGCACAGAGCATTCGTGATGTGATGATCCCATAGGTGGAGACACAGAGGGTTTGGTCAATGATCTCTACCTCTGCTTGCTGCAAAACAGCAGAGCCTTTATTGTCTGGGAAACAGATTAGAAGTAGAAATCATGGGCAATGATAATAACTACACTTATTGAGGACTTCATTAAATAATTTATTCACATTATCTCCTTTTATCCTTATAACAAGTCTTTGAGGTAAATTCTGTGATTGTCCCTACTTGCTGTTGAAGAAATGGAGGTTTATGAGGTTAAGGGATTTGCCCAATGACACACAACTAGCAAGTAACAAAATAGCATTTGGACTCAAGACTCTAACTTGATCACCTAAGCCACTGGGCCACACTCTGCCATCATGCACCTCCTGGTTTCATTGAGACTGTGAGTTGGCAACAGCTATTAACAATATTGGGAGCTCAGGTGGCATAGTGCCTAAGACATTTGGCTATTAACCAGAAGGCTGGCAGTTCAAATCTACCAGCCACTCCTCAGAAGGAAGGTTGGGCAATCTCTCTAGTGACACTGCCTCAGAAACCCAAGGAGAGGTCATGATGAGTCGGATCTGACTTGAGAGCAGGGAGAGTTTATTAACAATATTTACTATCAAGAGGGTTCCTTCAGTGGGGTGGCAAAACTGATTTATGGCAGTTTTCTATGAACCATAAAATATTAAAATTTGGTTATAGCATTTTCACTTCCTTTTCATGCTGTCTGGCTAATGACTTTAAAAAAAAATACACATATATATACACTTGCTTATAAAGAAAACATCTCGTGATAAGTTGGTTGTGTAAACTCTTTCCTCTTTTGATATGTGATCGTATAATTAAAGCTCTGGGCACAGCCCTAATAGGCTGCACATGTTGAAACTGTTAGCTGCTTTCCTTTGTTGGGACATTGAGATCTCAGCAGGTCCGAACTGGTGGTGAATATTATTACCTGAATAAACTAAATGAAGACAGTGAACACTTGAAAAGTTGCCTACAATGGATCTTAAGTGTGCAAAGCAAGGCCACAGGATAAGGTTCAAGAATTTCAGAAAACATATCTGCCCTAAACCCTTTGAAAGGACTGCAAAGGAATCGGAGATGGCATGGAGATCAAGGGAAAGTACTAGCACTAGCTTTGGGAAACTAGCAAAGCTTTGGATTCCATCCCTCAGTATATACTCAGTATCAACCATGAATCCTAGACTGTGAAAAACCCTGGCAGTGCAACTGTAAAGGCATAGCCCACATATACCCTGTGCTGTGGGTTGAATTCCTTGGAAAGAAGTTGGGCAATCCTACTTCCGTAGTGATACTGCCTCGGAAACCCAAGCAGGGGTCGCTATGAGTCAGGGCCGACTTGACAGCACATAACAACAACAACATGGGTTGAATTGTGCCCTCCCAAAATATTAATTAGGATCTTAGTCCCTCTACCTGTGGATGTAATCCCAATTGGGAATAGGATTTTCTTCATTATATTAATGAGGCTATATCAATATAGAGTGTATCCTAAACCTAATCACAGATTTGACACAGAAGCAAGTACAAATGGGGGTGAGAAGGAGTAGATCGATGCCATGTGAAGAACTTTGGAATGCTGGGGCTAAAGAACCTGAAAGAGACATGGATCTTTCCCCAGAGCAAGTGCCCTGAGTTCTAACTTCAAGACTTCTAACTGTGAGAAAATAAATTTCTGTTCTTTAAAATCACCCACTTGTGTTACATCTCTTAGAGCAGCTCTAGGTAACTAAGATATCCTGTTTTGTGCGTACTGAAAAAAAGTGTCCCCTCTGGGTGGAAGTATTGCAAATAGCCACCCTCTTTGGGTAGACCAATTAGAAAAATGTGCTTTGGCCTGAATATGCAGCTTGGGGTGCTGAGCACAAGTTGAATTTCAGCCCTTACTCTCATCTTTTGTCCCTTTGCTCTTATGCAAGACACACCTATATAATCCTCCAGGCAGTTTTCTGTGAGTTGACACAGTAGGGTGTGTGTGTGTGTGTGTGTGTCCCTTTCTCCCTTATAAAACAAATCACTTCACCTACTCAGATGAAAATAGAATCTAGAAATAGCTAAGAATGTTGTCTTTTATAATGAAAAACCTAGCAAACCCTCAGAGTTTGAAAAGGGCCCATGTCACCTAGAATCCTCCTTATGAGGTGCCCTGCTTCTTTTAGGGTAGGTGGAGAGCCTCATAAAACAGATATATTAACACCTTCTCCACCATACCTCACAGAGTTGTGGGGAGGCTCAAATTAGACCACATAAACAAACCCTATCTATGAACCCCAAAGCACGACATCAACATTAGCTATTACTATTATCTGGAGGGGAAGGGTATGGCCATCTATTCACACATATACCTGCTTCATGCCTTCGCCCCCAGCCGGTTACCCAGCATTTCTTCCCACTGTGAACTTTCTGGCCAGCGGGAGGAATGCATATGGGTTGAATGAGCTGTTTCAGGGTCTCAGGCCAGGTGATACTGAGCTGTAGCAGAGCAATATCATAGTCAAAGGTGTGGCTGTTATAGTACTCATGGACCACAATTCTTCTCACCGGGGACACAAACTTGGCATTCCCTTGCACGTACATCCCGAGGTGAGCAGTCCATGGCGTAGGGTCAGACAACCTGGCAGAAAAGGAATGAAGCACAAAGTGAGCAAATTTTCAAAGAGCCATACATGGTTCTGAAATAAGCACTCTAATGAGAACTGGGAAAAGAAATGCCTGATTTTGCATCCTTAATGTAGCCACTGATTCTTCCCAGAGACCTGGCAAGAAGAACATCTTCTATGGGTCTGACTTGCCTCCTTAGTAAAACTAGAAATAAGGTAGGGTATGGTAGAGGTGTGAGTTAAAGTGATATTCCAGCATATCCACTCAACAATACCCTAAGGAAAAGCCTGGGAATTTTCTTGACACTGGTATTACATGAACCACACATAGGTCAAGAACGTTGGCAACTGGAATTAATTTGTTACATTCTTCCTACTCATGCTGATTTGCTGATTATGGTAGTTGATGGAGACAGAAAATCCGGTTATCAAATTCAAATGATCTGATTATTAAGATAGATTAGAAATCAAAGTATTATAAGCAAGATTTTAATAAAATTCCTTCTTGTAAGCTACCAGAATCCTTCAAAATACTGCTCTAACTCAAAATCATAAAAAAAGAGCAGACTTACTGGTTTCATAGAGCCTGGTAAAACCCCTGAGACCATGGCCCCTAGTTATCCTTCAGGACTGGAATTGAACTCACTCCCAAGACTTCCAGGCAAACAATAGACAGGCATAGGGTGTGAACATTTACACCAGAGATACACTTCTTAGACTATTCAATCGTGGGAGAACAGAAGGGCAGTATTTGCACAGGGAGATAGCTCAAGGGGCAGGAATGCTTAGGAATGAAGGGCATAGGGAAGAGTTCACTACAGAGAGGAAGTAGGAAGAGAGCTATTACATTGTGGGGATTGCAGTCAACATCATGAAACAAAATATGTATGAACGGTTGTATGCAAGATGAATTTGCTCTGTAAACTTTCACCCAAATCACAATAAAAAATTTTTCTAAAAAATTATTGCTCTAGCCGTTCAAGTGTGACCATTCACTGGCGATCATCTGTAACTTTTTCCTGAATCCTAATCCTGACCTTGGTGTCCATGCACAAGTCACCAAGGATCTTGCAGTCTCCATGTACAACTTCCATCTCTATTGGCACAGCAGGCTTGTTCTGGCAGGAGTGAAGAAAACCTAGAAGCTTTTGAAGAAAAGTAAGGGCACCACCTGAAGAGTGTAGCCACTATTCCACTTAGTGTTAAGGTTAACATATCATTTGAAGCAGTTACACAGCATAAAAGACTAATGGTCAACAAGGGAGAAACTAATTTAGTAATTAACATGAATCTTGGAATTTCCAGGAGAAGCAAATATTCAAATAGCTTAAATTGGTTGAAATATCTCACTTTTTAAAAACTCAAAATAAAAAAAAATGAATGTAAATTTTGTACCTAAGATTCAATGCATAAGGTCAAATTTTAAATGAGGTTATTTTCTAAGCTTCCCTATCACTCTTGGTTGGAAGAGCTTTTGTTTGTTGTTGTTATGTGCCATCAAGTCATCTCCAACTCATAGCTACCTTATGTACAACAGAACAAAATACTGCCTGGTCCTGTGCCAGCCTCGTGATCCCTACTATACCTGAGCCCATCACTGCAGCCACTGTGTCAATCCATCTTGTCAAGGGCCTTCCCCTCTTTCTTTGACCCTCAACTTTATTAAGCACAACATCCTTCTCCAGAGAATGGTCTCTTCTGACAGCATAACCAAAGTAGATGAGACGAAGTCTGGCCATTCTCACTTCCAGGGGGCATTCTGGCTGCACTTCTTCCAGGACAGATTTGTTAGTTCTTTTAGCAGTCCAAGGTAGTTGGAAGAGCATCTGTCCCATAATAATACCATTGCTAAAGGCGTACAGAGACCTTCCAATGCCAACCCTAGTGGAGCTTTCCAGGGTCTGCCTTTCATTCTACTTATGGATGCCTACATTCCAGTCACCCTCACTGCTCATGCTTCTCCACATTCTCCGTGCCTTCTAATGGCCCTCTCACTAGAAAGCCTGATGTTATTTTTTCACACTAGCAAAATCCTATTTATTCTTGATGTTTCCTTTGTGTTTTTACTTTATCTTTATACTAATTTTATATATATATGTGGCACACATTAGGGGTCAAACAAATAAAGAAAAGAAACAAATGGATTGTAATGGATTGTTTGGATTTCTTCATCAGGAAGTTTCTCCTCATAATTTGAGGGCAGATGTATGTCTGTAGTCAGAGAGAGTATCACTTCAGATTAAGGCTTGTACATCCTACCTGTTTCCATGGAAACAGTGGGCTGCAGAAAGAAGCCACTCCCTGGAGATGACTGATGCCCCACAGTAGGCAGATCCAACAAAGTGGAGGCTGACTTGCCATGGCCAGCCACCTTCCAGGGTGTCAGTACCACCGATGATGCGCTGGAGGGTAGAGAAGCTCTTGCTGCAACCTTTGGCAGAGAAAGCAACACATGATTTAAAAAATAAACTTGGAAGAAATTAAGAATTCTTAGTTCTGGGTTGGGAACTAACCAGCCAGATAAGCAAATCTCCTGTTTATTTAAAGGAAAAAGAATATGCGGGTCTATCTGTAACCAACACTAACAAACTACACTCTGTCTTCTGTAAACATGCTATGACACAGAGTCTCTCTGTCTAATAATACAGGTGAGGGGAAGAGGGCAGACCTATTAGTAATAGCTGGACTGATATAACCAGCAACCTGGGGAGTGTAGGTTGTTAGGTAGAGTGGAAAAGATAAGTTCCAGTTGTGACAGAATTGAGTGTCATTAAAGTTGTGCTAATTTGAGAGAAAGCATTTGTGGGAAAATTTGTAAATCCAAGACAAAACAAATGAAAACCTAGCAAGTAAACCTAATTATCAGAGCAATTATTTTCCAGTATAAATAGCATTGATATTGTGGTTGTTAGATGCCATTGAGTCAGTTCTGACTCAGCAACCCTATGTACAACAGAACAAAACACTGTCTGGTCCCTGCACTACCCTCACAACACTGTCTGGACTGTGTACCATCCTCACAATCATTGCCATGTTTGAGCCCATTGTTGCAGCCATGTGTCAGTCCATCTCGTTGAGGGTCTTCCTCTGTTTTGCTGATCCTCCCCTTTACCAAGCATGATACCTTTCTCTAGGGACCGATCCCTCCTGATAACATGTCCAAAGTACATGAGATGAAGTCTCACCATCTTCTCATCTAAGGAGCATTCTGGCTGTACTTCTTCCAATACAGATTTGTTCATTCTTCTGGCAGTCCACAGTATATTTAGTGTTCTTCACCAACACCATAATTCAAAGGCAGCAATTCTTCTTTGATCTTCCTTACTCATTGTCCAGCTTTTGCATGCATATAAGGTAATTGAAAATACCATGGCTTGGGTCAGGTGTACCTTAGTCCTCAGTGTGACATCTTAAGTAGCATTGACAAGGTTTTATAACTGCCACATGATCAGCTAGAAGCCTTATGACATGTGGCAGATTGCTGTTATTAGGGCCTAGCTAAAGAAAGAACCAACATGATATTGTTCATAATCAAAATCATAATTAACAAAGTCATCACTGCATTCTAATTTCTATTTCTTTTCTCACAGTTTTTTTATTTAAGATTTTCTCCCTTAATCAGAGTTATTAGAAAGTGAAAGTTCTCATTGTGAACATCTAAAGGACTAATGTTTCTTACTCAAGAAAGAAGACAGGATCTAGTCTAGAGTTTTTATTTCTGAGAAATAATTTCAGACCCAGTGTTATGGAGTGAATCATGTGAGATGGAATCCTAACCCTATACCTGTGGATATAATCTATTTGGGAATGGAGTTTCGTTGTTATGGTAATGAGGCTGTATCAGTGTAGGGTATATCCTAACCTAATCACTTCTGAGTTAACCAGTGTTCCTATTCTTCCCTTGGTCTTTGGCAATCTCTGCTAGGGGGATTACTTTAAGAAGGACATGAAAATGTAAATTGAGGCAAAAATTCATGAACCAGGAAGGACATCATTTTACTCACTGCAGCCTTCTTCATCACTTCCATCTGGACAATCCACTGTTCCATCACATTTTGCATCTTGTTTCCTAAAGCATATATCATTGCCACACTTAAAAGTTCTATTGTTGCATGGTATGCCTAAAAGTGAATAAAAAGAGAATGAGTGTTTCCTAGCCAGAAAGAGGTCTGAGCGAATGACACAGAATTCCTCAAAGGATGGTTAACCATGTGCTGCTCTGAGAGAAATGTCAGAGAGAAAAGAAGCTACCCCAGGGTGATCCATTCCTTCGCTGCAGCAGGGCCAGTGGAAGGCATGCAGGCAGGCACGTACACGGCTGAGAATCAATCTTAAGGCTTCTCCTGTCCTTCTACTTTGCACAAGGAACTCTGGTGGGTTAGTGGTTAGAACATTTGACTGCCAACCAAAAGGTTGGTAGTTCAAACTAACCAACTGCTCTGCAGGAGAAAGATGGGGCAGTCTGCTTATATAAAGATTTATGGCCTGTGTAAAGATTTAAACCCTGTGGGGCTGTTCTACCTTGTGTTACAGGGTCACTGTGAGTTGGAATCAACTTGCTGGCAGTTAGTTTGGATTGGTTTGGTTTTTGGCTCCACTGTAAACCACATGCAAAGGAGTTGACCAGTTCGGTGGTTTTAGGCCACAGGTTTAGCTTTTACCTTGCCTTGTTCCCCAAGAAAAATTTTAAGCAAAATTATTACCTAACTTAGTCCTTTTTACCACTAAGGAAAACAAATGTGAATTATAGCACATTTGCTCACAATGTGTTTCATTGTTCATTCAGAAGTGTGTTTCTGCAAGGGCTAGAATAGAACATGTCCCATCATGGTATCTGGAAAATTCCTTTATCAGCTCCTTACTATCCACAGACTTTGTTGTTGTTAGGTGCTGTCAAGTTGGGTCAGACTCATAGTGACCCTATTTACACCAGAACAGATTTAAATAGAATTAAAAGCAAGTAAGCAATGAAAATTGGCTAGTATTCACACACAAACACACACACATTCACATACACTCCACCTTGGTTACAGTGATCTATCGTTTTGGTTTGCCTAGGGTTGAGGGAGTTCTCAGAATATGGGAGTTTCAGTGCTAAATCTGGAAAAGTCCCAGGAAAACTGGGACAAGTTGTTACCCCACAAAGGTATTTTGACTCTGATTTAGGGGAGATTTATAGGAAGAAAAGTAGAGCACATGAGACCCTTCCTCACTTTGGGTGCAGTTTTGTTCATCCAGGCCATCCTCACAGTCCCTGAAGCCGTCACAGACCAGAGGGCCATGCTGCCTGAAGGAACTGGCATTGCAAGCAGGTTTGAGAGCCACTAGAAAGAGAACAGACAGAAAGCTCATGAGCCTGCAGCATTAGCTGGATTCCCTGAAGATCACCACTACCACTCCCAAGGTGCACATGAATAAGATGATTTAAATAAAATAAAAAAAATGTATTTTTCTCAACATTGATACCTCCATGAGAAAGAGCAGATGTTTAAACTTTAGTATGATTCCTCTGACATTGTCAGAGTTAGTTTTTGCTTTTGCATAGATGTGTTAAAATTTGGTAGTTCATTTAATTATAATGAAATGCATCATAAGTAATTTATTTTAGGAAAAAATACCAAAATACATAAGCTTGAATCTATAAGAAATGTACTACCTTCCTAAAGAAACTGAGTCCTGAGAGTGGAGGTTTTGTCTTTTCATCTCTATACCTTAAACCCCTGACAAATAGTAGGTGCTCACTAAAAGGTTTTCTGAATGAATAAATGAACATGAGATCTGAGAGAACAATCTGCAGACTTGAAGTCTAAAATCAAACTCACTGCCATCAAGTCAATTCCAACTCGTAGCAATCCCTCCTTGGGTTTCAGAGGCAGTATCTCTACAGGGGTAGATTGCCCAGTCTTCCTTCCGAGGAGTGACTGGTGGATTTGATCCACCAGCATTCTGGCTAGCAGTCAAATGCCTTAGGCACTATGCCACCATTTTCTTTAAAATGATTTTACACTAATCCATTTTGTGGATCAGGAAATATCAATGTAAATGTGTCACAATTTTTCTTCCTTGGAATATTTTCATGAATTACCTTGAGACCAGTGATAGGCACAGTATACTTGCAAGTACTTTCAGAAGGCATAATTCCCTAAACATTTCTGGTTTCATGAAAAGTTATCATTTTAGTTTATCTACTTCTGTTTTTTGCAGAGGTATCTTCCATGTGAAGGAGCACTGATAGCACAATAGTTAAGGCCCTGGCTGCTAATTGAAAGGTTGGCTGTTTATACTCACCCAGTGGCTCTGCAGGAGAAAATCCTGACAATCTGCTGCTCTAAAGGTTACAGCCTAGGGAACCCAATAGGACAATTCCACTCTGTTGCATGGGGTCACTATGAGTTGAAATGGACTTGACAGCACCTAACAATGACAAGGAGCTCTGGTGCTACAGTGGTTAAAGCATTTGGCTGCTATCCAAACGGTTAGCAGGTCTAACCCACTAGACACTCTGTGAAAGGAAGATGAAGCTGTCTGTTTCCATAAACACAGCCTTGGAAGCCCTACGGGGAAATTCTACCCTATCTCTATGGTGTCACTATGAGTCAGAGTCAAGTCAGTGGCAGTGAATGTGAAATGATGATTACCAAAATGTGTCCCTTATTGTAGAATATAAGTATGTCTGGTGGTTCAGCAGTTAAGGCATTTGGTTACTAACCAAAAGCTCAGTGGCTTGAACCCACCAGCCACTAAATATAAGAAAGATGAGATAGTCTGTCTCCATAAAGATGTACAACCTTGGAAACCCTACAGGGGTCACTATGAGTTATAATTGACTCAATGGCAGTGAGTTTGGTTTGTTTTTTGGTATTGTAGATCATATCATCATTTTTATTTGGAGCATCATCGCAGAGAAAAAGAATAACGTAAAAGGGGGGATGAGCAGCCTCAAATCAGCCTCAATTTATTGCCATTCCTCTGCAAGGAGGAAGTGGGGAGAGAGCTGTTACACTGTGGGGATTGCAATAAACGTCACAAAACAAAATGTATATGAATTGTTGAATGGAAATCCAATTTGCTCTGAACACTTTCACTCAAATCAAAATTTAAAAAAAAAAAAAAATTCCTGACGTCATTTGTTCATTAAAAAAATCATACTAAAAGCTTGAATACTCACCACAGAAAAGCTCATCACTCTCGTCAAAGCAGTCATTTACCCCATCACAGCGCTGGGCCGGAGGGACACACAAGCCAGAGGAGCATCTGAAAAACCCAGCAGGACAGGCTAGAGGTAACAAAACAGAGAAAATCTTGGGTGAGTCCCTAAAAATCACCAGGCCATATTGGCACAGAAATGCAAACTGTTAAGTGGTTGGGAAGTTACCAAAGTAAGAATAGTAATTATGGAATTTCTCCACCAAATCAGGATCATGAATAATTTAAAGACAAAAAAGCAGAACTTAGAAGAACAAAGAATAAAGCCAATTAATACACTAGAATGTTTCAGTCAACACTGTATCCAGTTTACACATACAGCCAAATTTCTATTGTCTCCATACTCTTGACTCAGCTCTTGGACTTGAGCAGAGACTGGAAAAATGTAAAAGCTGGAAGGAGTCTAATCCTTAATGTGCCGTCTTCGGACCCCTCAGTCTTTAGATTTTTGGTGTCTCTGAGCCCTCTGTGATTTGATGCATTATCCTGAGGATTCCATGCCTTTCATTACATTTTCATGTGATCTCTGTCCCAAAATCCATAAGAACCACTGATCTTAGAAAGTTGAACGTAGAGGCATTAGTAACGGGCCCCCAAACCCAGAACTCCTGGCTCCTACCTCCCAGTCCATCATTCTTTCCACTACAATCAGACTGTTTTTCAAAGATCATTTCCTTGACAGATTTAAAATCATTAATCCTGGGTGTATAGATAAATATGATAGGAATAATAAATCCTTTCTACTCTTGTGCAAAAGAATTGAGGAGAGTGCATGGTCAGGTCAACCATTATATCAATGGCATAAAATAGAATGGATGTGACACTGTAAAATATCATAGTTTGAAAAAAATTAAAAGATGACTTGCTATGTCCATCTGCTCCTGTTTGGAATTACACTATTCTGAATCCAGAAGCAGGTATATTGGGGATTGGCAAAGAAGGGCTAGGCTTATAGGAGCTTTCTCTCAAGTCATATCCTCATGGACTCCTCCTAAATGGTTAAACCTTACTTCTCCCTTTTAAAACTAGTCAAGGATTTCCTGAGCAAGTTATTATCTACTCTCTCCAGCTCTAAGGACTTCCCCAGAACATTGTCTTCTCTGCAGACCGCTTTGTGGCTACTGTTCTAGTGGATCTCTGTGTGAACTTCAAGTTCATCCTTCTAGGGTTAACATTTGGACTCTCTTTGACCAACCATCTGTCCTTTAGTATCACAGGTCAGAGTGAGCCACAGCTGGTGGCCTCAAATCCACTTGATGTATTTGCACACAACATAAGTACAATAAATTGTGACTAGCAAAAAAAAAAAAAAAATCAAGGGATGGGCATGTCCTACATATGAGGAATCTATAAGAAATCATTATTTTCAACCAGTAATCAATAAAAACAAAAAAAATATGTATTTTCTTCTGGTTGCAGCAGATCTAATTCTTTCAATTCTCAAAGATTAACATTATAAAGTGTTACCCTCTGTTTGACTTTTTATTAAGATTTTCTAAGGAGCAGATTCCAAGCTTACGTTGACTGATGTTGTAACTGCCATATTCTATCAACAGTGGCTTGTCTGAAAGCCTTGAGCTGCACTGGAGCTGGATGTGAACGATGGGACTGGGCACTCGGAAAATCGTCTGGTGATCCATGTAGGAGCCGCAGTACCTGAGGAGACAAGCAAGCCAGGGAGGACACATGGCTTGAAGTTCTGCTGACTACGTTGCTGCCAACAGTGAATTCACTAATATTTTGGTCACTTGGGCTTCATAAGCAGATGCTGATGGTAGGGCTGGGTGATTTTTTCATTTTATGATGAATGATTACGATGGATTTATTTCTGCCACCTCAATTTTGTTCTTGGCTAAATAGAACAACAGTAGCACTATCAACTATCTGGAGCCCCTGAGTGGCACAAATAGCTAAGCACACCCAGAGACATCTTAAAAATAGGAAGACAGGCCTGGTGATTTGCTTCTGAAAGGTCAAAGCTTTGAACACCCCATGGAGCAGTTATATTCTGCACACATGAGGTCACCTTGAGTAGGGACTGACTTGGGAGCAGCTGACAACAACAATCAACTAACAGTTACCTGTTGCATTTCTTCCCAACATGTATAATGAGAAATTTGGGGGAGCTCAGGTAGTGTAGTGCCTAAGGCATTTGACTGTCAATCAGAAGGCTGGTGGTTCAAACCCACCAGCCACTCCTCAGAATGGTGGAAGACATTATGCTGAGTGAAATAAGTCAATCAAAGAGGGACAAATATTGCATTAATCCCTTATTGTAAAAGTCAAGGAAAGGTTTATCTATGGAAGGAAATTTTCTTTGTTTGTTACCAGGGACGGGAGTGAAAGGAAGGGAACACTGTTAGATGGGTAGAGATAAGTATTGATTTGGGTGAAGAGAAGGGCAGTGTACCAAATGTGAGTGATCAACATGGTGGCATTGAGGAAGAGGAAGACATAGAGAGGCACGTGGGAGGTATAGACAACAGATAAACCCTTTTGCACATACAGTACTGCATTGTCAGTGAAGGCAAACATGGGTATATGGTAGATAGATGGGTGGACAGGCTGAACTATTAGATATGTCTATGAAGCAGGGAGTGTACCCAAAACCATGTATAGGGTTGGCAGACAATGGTCCTATAAGTGTATTTGTATGATCTGAATTCCCATGTGTATAATAGAGCTGATAGAGACAAGGTTGTAGTCACTTCTTGGTCACAGCCAGCTACCCAGAGGGACTGAGTAGTTGAACCTGTGTGCTCGGGACCATAGTCACAGGGGACATCAAGCTCAATTGGCATAACATACTACCCAAAACATTGTTCCACCTCCTACTTTGGCTAGTAGTGACTGGGATCTTTAAAGCTTGCAAGCAGCCATCTAGATGCAAGAGAGATGGGTCTCTCTTTGTCCAGAGCAAGGAAGAATGAAGGAAACCAAAGATTCATGGAAAGAATTAGTCCTAGTGACTGGTACACCATGCAATCCTTAGCCTATATGACTAGGAGACTAAAAGAACTACATGGTGCCCAGCTACCAATGTCAACTATTTGGAGGAGATCTATGTAGGAGATCCTGGATAGAGAGGTAGAACAATGTGGAACAAAACTCAAAATTATTTGGAAAAAAAAGGGGGGGTGTGGGGACCAGGTTTGCTGGTCTGATAGAGCCTGGTAAAACCACTGAGACTATGGCTCCTAGCTGCCCTTCAGGTCTGAAATTGAACCCACACCTGTGGCTTCCAGACAAACAAAAGACAGTCATAGGAGCTGAACATTTCACTGAGGTAGATACACTCCTTGGAAAGAACAATCGTGGGAGAAAAAAGGGCTGTTTATGCACAGGGAGACAGCTCAGGGGGCAGGAGTGCATGGAGGGAAGGACACAGGGAAGAGGTAACAATCAGGAGGAAGTGGGAGGGGAGCTGTTGCATTGGGATAAATTGTAGTCAATGTCATGAGACAAAGTGTATGTGAACTGTTGTATGGAAAGTGAATTTGCTCTTTAAATTTTCACCCAAATCACAATTTAAAAAAAAAAAAAAAGGAAAGAAAAGAAAGAAGGAAGATTAGGCAATCTACTTCCGTAGAGATACCGCCTCGGAAAGCCAAGGAGGGGTCACTGTGAGTCAGATCCGGCTCGACAGCAATGAGTTTGGTTTTTTTGGTTAGTCCTCTCTCTGTTTTCAGTATGGTAAACTGTCAAACAATGAGAATGGACTGCTTTTGCACACAAAATTCTGTGATGAGGAAAGTGAAATCCATGAGCTTGGAGAGAAGATAGGCAAAGAATTCCAGAAACTCTTAAAGCAAAAGACAACAATATTATTTTCATCTAAATTGAAATTGGATATGTATGTCACAGCTTGTCTTTAGGAAAATTTCTAAGTTATGATGTCTATCTCTAATATATCACTATCTTGAATTTTTTCTTATCTCTTTCATTATCTAATGTTCCTCAGGTTCCCAATATCTTTGTAAGAAAATGGTATTCCTGTTAATAATTCTTATTATATGAGTACTGTGATTAGTAGAACTTGGAGTATTATTATACTAAGGGCCTATGATAAATACCACTACCAGTCTGTACGTTTGTCATACTGTGGTGGCTTGTGAGCTATTGTGATGTTGGAAACTATGCCAATGATATTTAAAATACCAGCAGGGTCACACATGGTGGACAAGTTTCAGTGGAGCTTCCAGACTAAAACAGATTAGTAAAAGAGAAGTGGTAATCTATTTCCAAAACTTAGCCAATGATAACCTTACAGATTACAATAGAATACTGTCCAACTCATTTGCTTTGGATGTGTCATAGGGAGGTATTAATCTCTAGAAGAGGACAACATGTTTGATGTGGAGGGCCAACAAGGGCATGGATTGACACAATAACTGCTATAATGGACTCAAACGTGATGGTAATTGTGAGGATGACACAGAACTGGGCAACATTTCATTCCGTTGTGAATAAGGTCATCATGACTGGAGTTTAGTGAAGAGAAGCTAACAATAGCAATGATAAATTAGGCCACTGCCCAGTATGAATCCTGAGTGAATCCTGTCTCAGAGGAGGACAAGATCCAGGTATGAAGCTGGAGGGGTGATGTCCTTTACTGGAGGACATTCTCAGTGCCAGGCATTCCAGGTCATCCAAAAGCATTCATGGGAATCACTCATGTTCCATGGATCCAACAATGACATTCAGTAGGAGAAATACATAGGTAATATGATTTCAAGATTTTAAGGAGGAAAGTATTCACATATTATTTAGTGATAATCTTTTGCAATTTGCTGAAGTTCCATAGAGTTAGCTCTTGAGTTAAGCACAGCTGACTTTCGTACAACATGTAGTTAAGAACCAACCTCTATAAAGCCTATTATATTAAAAATCCAAGGTATACGCAATGGTTCATTACAACAAAAGGATGCAACTTTGCCATGTGTATCAAATCATTATTATTATTAATTTATTATTGTTAAGATGTCAATATTATCCAAAGAAATCTTTGTATGCAACAAAATCCTGATCAAAATTATAAGAGCCTTCTTTACAGAAATGGAAAAATCAATCCTCAGCTTTACATGGAATGGCAAGAGGCCACAAAAGCTAAACCAATACTGAAAGAGAAGAATTAAGTAGGAGGACTCATACTTCCTGATTTTAAGACATATTATACAACCACAGTAATCAAAACCACTTGGTACTGGCATAACAATAGATACAAAGACCAATGGAATAAAATTCAAAGTCCAGAAATAAATCCGCACATCTACGGTCAACTAATTTTTTTTTTTTTTTTTTAATAATGTTGTTAAGTATATTTCAATGGGGAAAGAAGAGTCTCTGTGATAGATATAAGCCTTGACTTAGAATTCTCATGTTATTTTTATGTTTTAATCCTAATACCTTTTCTCTCCAAAAATGAAATTGAATAACAGGACAGTGGTTATAATCCAGTTCTAAGAACTGGGTAGACAAGACAGACAGAACCGCAAAGAATGACTGAAGCTTACAGTTCCAAAGAACACAGCTGAACATCCTCTGTCTTGAGTATGGCTACCAAGACAGCCATGGTCTGCTCTCCTACAACAGAACTACTGATAAACTACTTGCCAACTTAAACCTCCCAACTTCCCCAGCTCGGGGCTGATGCATTGCTGAGCTCAACCTGGGTTGACACCATTCTAATCTTAGCCCATCTGCATGAAGATGCTTTAATAAAATTTCTTTCAAAATTCCACCAGCCTGATTTCTCTCACCCAGCACTGAACTTTACGTTCTTCAATAAATGAGGTAGAGAAAACTGGATTTCCACATGAATAAAAATGAAATAGGATCCATGTCTCATGCCATAAACAAATAAACAAACAAACAAAATCAAAATGGATTACGGACTTAAATATGCAAATTAAAATCATAAAATTCTTAGGAAAAAATGCAGAGGCTACATTTTTAACAATGGATTATCTAATATAACAACACAAGCACAAACAGCAAAAAAATAAATAAATAAATGCGACCTCATAATAATTAAACATTTTTTTCATCAAAAAACTTTACAAAAAAAGTGGAAAGCCAAGCTATTGAAAACTAGACAAATTATGAAATGACATCAAAAACATCATACATGAAGAAAGTCAAAGGTCATTAAAGATAGGAAAGAAAGAAAAGACCAAAATGGATGTCAGAAGAGATTCTGAAACTTGTTCTAGAATGGAAAGTAGCTAAAATAAATGGAAGAAATGATGAAATAAAAGAGCTGAACAGAAAATTTAAAAGGGCAGCTTCAGAGGACAAAGTAAAGCATTATAATGAAATGTGCAAAGACCTGGAGTTGGAAAATCAAAGGGGAAGAACACACTCAGCATTTCTCAAGCTGAAAGAACTGAAAGAAAAAGAATCAAGCTTCTGGTTGCAATATTGATGGATTCTATGCTCTGGTAGCACAGTGCCTAAGGCACTTGACTACTAACCAGAAGGCTGGCGGTTCAAACCCACCAGCCACTCCTTGGAAGGAAGGTTGGACATTCCTACTTCTGTAGTGATACTGCCTCGGAAACCCAAGGAGGGGTCACTATGAGTCGGGGCTGACTTGATGGCAAATAACAACAACAACAACATGGGAAAAATATTAAACAGTGCAGAAAGCATCAAAA